GTGGTGTTAATCAGGGAACATCTTACTTAGTCAAAACCTAAAAACCCCCATATAAATAAGAAGAAAATTACTTAAATATCTTGTTTTCAACAGCGTCACTGACAACATACTCTCAAGTTCACTCATACTGTGCAATCATACTACAGTCACATAATCCAGTACAATTTGTAAACTGCTGAGCTAAAGGTTTTTAATGATTTGTCATTATGACTACACACATGCCCCTAGCTGACAAAAACTACAAAGAATGAACGTACCCAGGCGGCCAAGTCGGTCAATGGCATCCTGACTTTTATCAGAAATAGCATGGCCCAGCAGGACCAGGACAGTGACTGTCCCCCTGTATTTGGCACTGGTGAGGCCTCACCTCAAGTCCTGTGTCCCTTTCTGAGCCTCTCACTACAAGGAAGACATTGAGGTGCTTGAGCACGTTCAGAGAAGGACAACTGAGCTGGTGAAGGGTCTGGAGCCCAAGTCCTGTGAGCAGGGGATGAGGGAGCTGGGGTTGTTTAGTTTGGAGAAATTGAGGCTCAAGGAGGACCCTTATCGCTCTCTACAAGTACCTGAAAGGAAGCTGTAGCCAGGTGGGGCTTGGCCTCTTCTCCCAAGTAACATGTGAAAGGACCAAAGGAAATGGCCTCAAATTGTACCAGAGGAGGTTTAGATTGGACATTAGAAAAAATTTCTTCACTGAAGCAGTGACTAGGCGTTGGAACAGGTTGCCCAGGGAAGTGGTGAAGTCACCACCCCTGGAAGCTTTCAATTGATATGTAGATGTGGCACTTAGGGACACTGTTTAGTGGTGAACTTGGCACTGCTGGGTTAACAGTTGGAACTCAATGATCTTAGAAGTCTTTTCCAACCTAAACAATTCTATGATTACATGAAAATTTGGAAGCTTAGCATTGTAGATGCTAAGCCTATTACTCTCATTACTGTGCCGTACGCAGTATCTGTACAGAGGCAGAAATGTGAACTAGACACTGGCTCTCAAAACCAGTATGTAAATACTTCCATTTATAAAATATGGTGGTGAAAATTAAAAATGTTGCAACCAATAGAATTTAACTCAAAACAAATGTGCTGATTAAAAATCCAACTACAAAAAAGGAAAAGGGAAAGTATAATAGCAAACAGATACAGATGTAAGGATTTTCCTGAGCCAAAGCCAAATTCTTTTCAAGCAGGAGAACCTTAATGAAAGACTTATCATAATGAACTCTGCAGTAGTTTGAGCCACCAGCTTGATTCTGCACTTGTTTCAACACTTAGAATTTTCACTTATGTCAAATAGATTTGGGTAAGAATACAATGTAAAAGTGGACACAAAGGTCCACATTCAGTTTAAAACCTTTGCATTAAAGTGTATCCAAAAGAAAAATAATGAAAGGGTATCTTTTCCTGAATGTGCTTTTTAAGTGAAAACCAACAGTTCTTTTTGAAGAGTTCTTTAACACGAAATATAAAGAATTATATTTTTGCTTTCAAATGTGAAGAAATATGCCAAGAAAAGTTATCAAAAAAGACTTATTTGCTGCAAATATTCCAAGTTATTATTTAGTTTTCAACTGAAGAATTTTTAATGGAGTTTGAGGTTTCAAAAAAAAGAGACAGTGTACTCTGCATCACTCTTGTAATCATTCTCACTCTTAATACACTCAGCTATTTCCCTTAAAATGCACATACACTTGAACTCAATTTTAAATTTAGTGCAGTGAATACCTGGCAAATTCACCTCTCCAGTCCACAACAATCCAACTTATGCCACACCTTAAAACTTTTATTCTTTATAGGGAGAGTCCTCTCACCACCATCGGTACAAAGTTGATGGCATAAGATCTTATGATTCCAGAGTGTATTCTCAACGACCCCAAAGATTTTGTAACACTACACTGATCTCACAGCTTACATCCTCAAACCTGAGTATTCGCTTATGATACAAAGCTTTACAGTCACACTTGTAGTTTGATTACCTCCTGACATTAATAAAGATTTCAGAAGAGCATTACAAATCACTGGGGTACTAGGAGTGACTGATTAGGTAAAAATAATGGTCTTTAAATATTTCTCCAGGTTTTAACATAAGTAGTATTAATTAAACATCAAAAAAATATATTAGAGAAAGCATAACACAGGTTTGAACTGTGGAAATCATTATAGAGAAGCTACTGCATGTTATAAGGTTGGCTACAGACTAGAATATAATTCAAATGCATTAAATTCTGCAGTAAAACATTAAGCTGTTAATACACTAACAGTCTTCAATTATTGGTTGCTCTTCCACAATATAATTGTGATATATTAACAATTATTTCCACTGCATCAGTAGATGCTCTGTCAATCATGTACCATAATTCAGCAGGTGGTATCGAAACCAGCATAACTGGCAGACATGATTTTATTGCAATACATTAAAGATCTATTTATGTCAAAACTCTCATGCAAAAAAAAAGGAAGATATGGACAGCTTAAAAAAAAAATCTGATTTTTTTTCTGAATAGCTTTATGAATTTGGAATAGTCAGAGCGTAATTATTTCAACCACATCTGAATAGCTCTGATTCTACCTGCTTTTATGCTGCTTATGTTGTTGTCATATGAAGTGGCATTCATACAGCTGATAATGTCAGAATATAGGAAACTAAAGGCAGCAGGGGTGTAAGATCCACTGCCTGCTACAGAGCACACTCTGTCATAATTCATGCTGGAGCCTGAGTCAAACCATTCTTCTGCTGTCAACAAACACTGGTGAAATAAGACAATATTTCTTCTCCTGTTGCTACTCACTCAGACTACATATCACCTTCCTACTACAGACAGCTAGCCTGTCAGTATGCATAGTAGAAGCCTGACTAAGAAAGCTAAGGATTTCATCAGTACATTGTCCATCAAGAAGGATCTGCTGTTGTAAAAATCCAGGCTATTACATAGAAAAAAATCCATTCATTTTAAACCCCCAAAAGCTAAGGCATTAGGATTTTAGAAATGTCAAATAAAGGTAGACTGGGAAACTTCGATTGTGCTACCTGCTGTTCACATCTCTTCACATCACACTATATATGTATGCCAAATAAATACATGTTTTCCTTCAGACTAATGAATCACTCAGTACTCAGGATGAACAAACCTGCAGGAAGCAGTTGTGGAGCGCTGATGACTTATCCACAGTACATCAACCTTGTTTAAAGAAGGTAGAAGATGTTTAGTGAACGTGATAGGGAATTACAGTAAGGAGGAGTATGCTGTCATGCATTAAAACATTACTCTTTAGGAACAACAGCAGAATCTGTTTCTATCACAGGGTTTCTACGTGATGACAGTTACTTACGTATGTCGTACACCACCTGCCAACCCCCAAGTTTCCCCAGAGGCTGAACAGAGGTACAAGACAGCCCTGTGACTGAAGTTAATCAACATAATGCTTATGCACTTGTCCTGAAATTCTTGACCCACTTAAAATTGTTCTTGAAAAATACAGCACTTGGGAGTTCTGGCAGGTGCAGACAGAGTAGTTCACATTATACATTCTCAGTCTCCTTTTTTCAACAGTGTCTTTCAGAAGCAAATCACAGATATCCTTCAGTCCAAGAGAACTGTTCCTGCATCCTGCTTCTTAACACCAACCTTCCCAAAAAGGCCTTGGCCAGTCAGACCCTCTTATGTCTGACTGGAAACATTTCCATCAAGTCAGAAGAAAAGGCCCTGATGAAAGACAGCAGCTGGGAGAAGAGATGCTGCTATGAATACAGGAACAAACTGAAAATATCTGGATGCTTTTGAGAAAGTTAGGAGTGGCTCATTACTCAAACAGAAAACATCCTAGAGAAGGTAGCAAGATCATAGGATACCTATTTCAGACTGCAACCAAAAATTTCAGTCAAATTATAGTTGTGCCTACCTTTATTTCCATGGTTTGTAGCTCAAGACATCTTATTTGGAGAAACACTGAAGAAGCACAATTGTGATTTAACAATAGTTGAAGACAGTTCTAACAATAAGATGAAGAGGAGATAATGGGATCCACACTGACATTTTCATCTCAACACAGTGGTTGCTAAAGAATAAGTTGCTGTTACTCTTTGCAAATATTTAAAAGTAAAAAGCTGAGTAAGAAGGCAGACACACAGTTTAAAGGAAAGATGGATGTTGGCAAAATCAACTGACTCAAACCTTGTCTGCAGTGGAAGTTCTGGCCCTTCATTCTGACAGTTGTGATAGAGAAGAAACAGATCTCTTACTGTGTTCTCTGAATGTAGTAACGTTGACCTTATGATAGGCTTCCACAGCAGCTGCTTGAAAGAGAGGCTGTTCCTGTGCTGTGAAAACCACTTATTTCAAATTATTCCATGTTGGTAGTTTGTCAAAAGTTGGTGTGTTTTTTTTCTTCCCTTCTCCTCTTAGCAAAGAAATAAATACTTTTTTCCCTGACTCACAAATGTACCCTGTAGTCTTACTTTTGAAAGTATATGGTCAAATTTGTGTTCATTGTAAACAATGAAGCAAAGTAATCATTGAAGCTTTCAGTTCAAGTCACCAGCATTTGCTTTCACTCCCTGTTAAGAAATGGTATATTTAGTTTGCTTTTCTGCTTCTACTTTTAAGACTACTGGTACAACTGAGACTGTTCATGGAAAAACACAGCATTTACATGTCATGAAATTCCACAGACTCATATAAAAGATTTTATTTGTTTATTCCCCAAGATAATAATATCTTGCATAGTGTGTAAAAACCCAGAACATCTGCATTGCAGTTCATCTTCTACAACAACCTAAATCCTGCAAGGTCCTTCATAGGTATATATTGACTACTTGGAAAAGTGGCACATAAAACAACAGTATGTCCAACATCACCTTTCCAAAACATAATTCAACCATATGTAGAAACAGTGGACTTACAAACTCTAAGAAAGCAGGAAGGTGGGAAAGTCAAAATAGTTACTAAGAAGATTTCAATAATTCATACTCTCACAAATACTGTCAACCTGGACTTTCATTTTACCTTGAGAAGGTATGTAGGAATATTGCTGAAATCAACAGGCAACTTCAAGAGGAAGCGAGCTGAGAATTCTCCAGTCTGTGGAAAAAAGGTAACACTAATGAGATCTGGTGGCTAAAACAGAACTACAAATGTTCTGATGAAAAATGAGTAAGAGTTCATACCAAACAGAAGGGCTGAGATTTAAAACAAAATTGCTGAATAGAATTACTGAAGAGGAAAAAAAAAAAATTACAGATTTCATAGGTGTTACACGACAAAACACCTTAAAAACCATAAAACATCATTGCCAGTAAGTCAACAGCAAAAAGTAGTTAGAACAAAATAATGTGCACGACAAAAATCAGACTATACTTTGTTCCACCCTAAATATAGATGTATCTTGGCTGTACTGATTTCCGGACAAAGGTCTGGCAGGACCTGCAAACAGTCTGAAAGCAAAGTTAAAATCCTGACAAATTTTTAAGAGTATATAGATATAACAGAGGCACCTTTACAAACACTGCAGATATACATAAGAGAATGTGTGTTGAGAAAGGTGAGAATGTATCAGGTGTCCTCTGAATAAACATAGAGTAAAAAACTGAATTAGAAGGTTATAAACAATTTCAGAATTATTTAACTCTCAACACCTTGACAACTGTTTATCGAAAATTTGCCAAGTGTCCCCTACACATTGCTCTTTTTTTATGTATAAGGTGTATGCAAAGGAAATGGAAAGGATTTCCTTTCTGTTTCATATACTTCCTTAAAACCAGACTTTGACCACCTGGTTATGAAGCAACGAAGTTGACTGTTTTTTAAAAACAAATGCCTGCCTGATTTCCTTCATATTAGTTTTTTGTTATCTCTATTTTTTGTTCAATAAAGCAGCCACATAGCAGCTATATTTGTTCAGTAGGCTGAACTGGCAGCAAAGAAAGTGTTAAACATTGATTTTATGCAGTTAAATACAAAAAATTGGGAAAACTTGAGACAAGTTAGCAAAACTCTTTAACACTGCTCTATTTTTGACATACACATGCTACTTAGTTACATGTTGACATACAATTTTTAAAAAACAGCACTCCATTTTAATAAGCAAAGGGACAAATCAAAGCTGCATGAAAATTCAGCATTTGCTCTACCACAGTAACACATATACACTACTTTGCTATTTCCTGAACATAGCTGTCTGCACCTAATTTTCATTTTAAATATTTTAAATATTTTCCATAGCGAGAAGAAAAATACAGATGTCAGATAGATACCTTTTGGGCCACTGCCTTACTACATGTAGTAGATGCCATCACAAGAACACCACACAGCTATGAGGACAGCTTGCCAAAGGCTAAACTCCTTAAGAGGAAAGCATTCAAAGTGTCCTGTACTGGTACCAAAAACTTGTCATATGGTTTTGCAAAACAATCAGTACTCTTGCCTTCCCTGTTAATTAGCTGTGCTCACCCATAAACTGCTTTGAGCTCAGCATAACGGACAACATGAAGGCTGTCACTGGCCATATACTACCAGACCACAAGCCTCTGTAATGATGGACCACATCAAATGCTATTCATACTGATTCAGAAAGGAATTGGCCGAACAAAACCCTGAAGGAAATCAGCTTGCCGATGCAGAAGCCTTTCCGAGAAAGTACTGGAGGTCAAAGCCAATGGAAACTGCCTTTCCAAAATGAATAGTAAGCTGCTAAGCAGGGTAGCTGAGGAATATAAGTGATTGTTTGCTCAGCACATTATTTTCTGTGGCACTGACATGAAACAAAACTGAGAAGGAAAAAATTCCTTCATTTATGTTATGACTAAATTAAGCAAAGATTTCACCCCAAGCAAGTAAGCACATATATAGAGAGATGCTGTATTAGGCAGATATAGAATAAGCAATGTTAATGTCAGTGCCAATTTGTTTCTTGGTCTATCTACCAGGCATAGAGATAACTCATTCTACCTTCAAGTCACTAAACAAGAAAAAACAAGACCTGGAACGCAATCAAAATCTTTCCAATGGTACCCTTTCAAGTCATAAAATTTGCCATAAGGGTTTGTGCGATGCTGGACTGTAATCCACCCTGCTGCCAGTCAGCTCAGAACTGCCCTTAAAATTTGTCCCTGGTAGTCACATGCGACAGGCAAAGAAATCGCTCACAGAAACACTATGCAACAAGAAGTGAGTGTATATTAAATTCCAACTCTGAAACCTTTCCTGATGATACTACTTGTGAGGACAGATGTCAACTTTCTAATGCTAGATTACTTATTCATGCAGAAAAATCACTGACTTCTTGTACACATAAAACATGAGGACTGCTATGGTGACAGTCAAGGTGCTTGCTTTTTGTTCAGAGTGAAATGGATATTATATACAGCGCTTCTCTTCTGGACTTACAAAAATGCCACACAACATTTCCCATAAAATCCAAAATTTTTTCTGGTAAAATACAGAGTCTGATGAACTGGGATAGCCACTGAACAGATGAATGGTCTCTAATAAAAGCATCAGCTGCTCCACAAAGTTGACTTTCAGTTTAGGTTTTTTATGTCATTCGATCAAGATTATTTTGCTAAGTATTACTTCCAAGAGTGTTCTGGCCAGACAGGGAGCAGGCCCTGTCCATGGTGCTCACCTACCCATCCCCAACCAGCTGGATTCAGACATCAGTCAAGAATGATGAATTTCTGGCTACAGCACTGAGAAATTAGGTATTTAATGTGCTCCTGCACCAACTGGTACTGTGCCAGCATGAAGCTACTAGGCTAAATAATAGTTTGCCTATTTGTCATAGATCTAGGAGATCACTTCAGGAAATTAGATATAATGGAACAAAGGTATAAAAGCGAATTTCTGTTCCATTTTAGTACACAGTGCTAAATTCAGGCCTCCTCTCCCAAGTTGTTTTAACTCACACACCTAAGATGATTGCTTTTATAATACTTTTATTTCAGAAATCTGCTGAACAACTATCCATTCCTGATCGACAGCAACAACATGAATTTCAATGACTTCTAGGAGAGGAGATAATGGGCAGTTTACCTCCTGCTTTTTGAAAAAAAGCTCCTAATTTGCTGATCCTCAAGGCTAACAAAACAGTTGCAAAGGACAGGAAGAAGAACTACACAAGTTAGTTTCATAGTTTTGTTTTAGGACACTAACAAACAACCCTCTGTCATGTAGATACCAGGTTCATAGAATCTCCAAACAGGACTCACAAGAATCTTACTGACAGAGAATGTAAACTTGAAAAACAAAGTATATGCTATGGAAACCTCCAAAATAGCTTTGCAATGATGAAAAGGATTTGACTCAAAAAGTATTTAAGATTTATTTTATTGGAATACTTTTAACTAAGACAGCATTTCAAATTTAAAAAAAAAAGTTCTTTATTCAGTCACCAAAGATTCAAAAGGCTTGAGTAGATATGTCTTTCCTATGGAAAAAGGAGAAAAGCCCTAATTTTCTATCATCTTGAGAAGAATTTTTGCAGCTGGCAAAATCTATGATAAAATCTCAGTACAGTTTAGAAAGCCTTCTGTACTTCAATAAACCACTCTAATAAAATTTAGAGATGTAACAATTTGTTTGTGGTGCAAGCTACGGAGAATAAAATTTATGAACAAATTAATTTTAATGAAATATTATGATATATAAACGTTAAAAAAAAAATCTGAATTTCTCTGATGAAGAAAATTTTACTTGGGTTAAAATAAAAAAAGCTTAGATGACTTGCCTAAGGAAAGAAAAACAGATGAACGTAAGTAGTGTGAGTTGTAAAGAAAACATCCTTGCATCACCTGTAACTTAAGGATGATTAAAGTGACACAAAGCTGAATTCTAGGCCCTGCTAACAGGAGTGCTGAATTTTCATCAATTTTCAGACTGCATCTATTTCAGAAGATACTGCTTCTGAAGGCCAGTTTATCTTACGAGTATGCCATTTCTGAAAGCAAGAGGGAAACACATTCATCATAACCACCATTAGGTATTTCCTGACATATCTTACTCTGAACTTCCCATGATAAATATTTTACCAGTGAAAAAAACCCCTGATTTTTGCAAAGCTTACTCTGTGGCAGAGATCGATTAAAAAAACCCAAACAATTCACACACAAACCAAAATGTCTCCATTGCCAATGGCCTCATTTTAGAAGGCTGAGATGGCATACACAGAGTGTTTCTATACAGCACAGCACATTTCCCATGCAAGGGATATAACTTCAGGAAACAGACATGCCATTTTATTGTCTGACTGTCCTATGAACGCATGGCCCTACAAAGTCACTGCTCTAGCCCATCTTGCCTCCTTTTGCAGAAAATTAAGTTGGGTTAGTTTTTCCTCTCTAGTATAGGTTCCCAAAACTCCTCAGCTTAGACAAGTGTGAGAGAGATACTGTCAACTGCAGCTACCAACTAAATCAACTCAACCATAATGTATCATAACCACACCCTGACACATCCTACCCCTAAGCAGGCTGGTTGGCTGGCAGGGTGTCATACCAACACTGTTATTCTACCTTTCGAATCTTCAGAGCTAACTCAAACTTCCACATAACACTGTACAGGCTTTTCAACAGTTTCAAAGTTTTCATCTATAAATCAGACGAACAAAGATCAGGTTCAAAAACAGTGGCTCACCTGGAAATCCGGTTCAACCACGGTAATGGAATCACAGCAACATACAAAACAGGGAGTATAGAAAATGATCTGGAGTAGAATAGAAGTTTTCTCCATTGGAAACAGAAAGTATGACAATCCACAATAAGAACTCAAGTTTTCCAAGGCAAGAGTTGTATTTGTTAAAAGCATTTTAGCTGAAATAATAGCTTACCCAGTTGTTTTTTTTGCCAGCATAGATTTCCATGTTTTCTCCATACTGGGGCTCTTCAAGTAACGTCTGATATTCAAACATGAGACGAGAGCTCTCACGTAATCGGCCACACTGAAATTGGTGATACTGTTGCACAAGCTCTTTCACAACAAGCAGGAGGCATTCAGGGTTTGAAGGATTCCAAGAAGCTAAATTCTGTTGAATCAGAAAAGAACGGAGATCAGAATTGTTTACAGCAACAGAAGGACAAGCAATCCCCCTTCTGTACGGACATGAGAGGCACATAGGCACACGGGAGCTTTGTGACAAAGCTAAACCATAATATTAAATGGAAAGGTTCTACAATGTTTTAGAAGAAAACCAGGTGGAACAGCAAAAACTTAATGTTGAATAGGAGACCTACCATAAAACTGATAACAGGGTTACTACTAGGCATACATAGGTCTGAATTACCATTTTATTCTTTCCTAAAATTATACTGTTGTATCTGAGAACTTGAAAAGTTTGAATTAAATGATGACTGATATGAAACACACAAGCATTAGGTAAGCACACTCTGCACAGTAACTAATTTCAAAAGCAGTCAACCAAGTGAATATGCCAAATTGACACCAACTATAGAAACTGCTCTGCTTCACTATTCAAATAGTGGCTGTAGTATTCACAGTGATGGAGCAAACGGGTTCTCTTCTCTTGCCTCGACATTGTGATTTATTTCACCTTAACCGTCTCTTCACCAGAGTTACCTTGACTCATCCCCTTAACACAAATGCCATCCAAACACACAAGTCTCTTCAATGTGCCTCGTGGAAATTTTTATTACAAGTTGACTGTATTTCAAGAAACACAACTACCAGAAATAAAAATGATAATACAATTAAGATAACTGTCAGTAGCACAGTAGCAATGTTATCACTCACTTTAACTACTCTTAACATTGCCTTGGACCAGTCTTCTGTGCACAGTAAGTTTTATTCAGGAAGGTATTTGACGTTACAAATCATGCCTAACATGACCCATGCATGCCTACATCTAGTTGACCTAAAATGGACCTATGTGAAAGGCAGATGAGGACCCACCTATACTCTGTGCTCTTAGAGCATGAGACAGTATTGATGCAAAAGTACTTAGGTCCTCATATGCTTCATTCATGGGTCCTCAAGAGGGTCTTCTTGATGCAAGTTCAGAGCATGTTAATGTTGTCATGTGGCTTTTGCTAATTTTTGAGTATAAGCAAAATTAATCTGTATTTCATAGAATCACGGAATGGTTTGGGCTGGTAGGGACTTTAAAGATCATCTAGTTCAGGGGAGGGACGCATTCCACTAGACCATGTTTGCTCATCCAACCTGGCCTTCAACACTTCCAGGGATGGGGCATTCACAACTCCTCTGGGCAACCTGTCCCAGTGTCTCACCACACTCACAGTAAAGAATTTCTTCCTTATATCTAATCTTAACTTACCCTATTTCAGTTTAAAGCTGTTACTCCTTCTCCCACCACTCCATGCCCTTGTAAAAAGTTCCTCCCCAAGTCTCCTGAAGGCCCCTTTAGGTACTGGAAGGCTGTATATGACACAGACATTTGACAACAAACTCATTCCAACAGGATTTTAAACTGCATGGCTTGTACAGGGAACATTAAGAAACTCAGAACTGGCAAAGATGCCTGCATTTTACAATTAAGTGAAGATATAATATAATAGCTTCACATACAATTTCTTATCTGTATCTGTAACTCAGTGGAGTTACAGACAGCATGTTACTTTTGTCCTGTAAGTTGCAGACATTTCATAAACAAATTATATGCATAATTTGCATTCTTCAGCAAGGACAAAAAAAAAAAAATCAATGGTCATGTTTTGCCTCTTCATTGAAAAAACTGCTTTGGTATGCAGCATTTTCTACAATGAAAGGGCAGAAAATATTTCTGTACTTTGAAGTAGATATCTTAAGTCTGCCTTGTATTCAAACATACAAAAAATGGCATTTCTTAAGCGAAGTTACATAAATGAATGAACATGGATAAAACCACGTCCCCCACAATACACAAGCTATTTATATTTTGTGTAACACCAAAAGCAACAAATACAAGTGAATGGGTTGCATAGAGAAGTCATCGAGTCTCTGTCCTTGCTATCCTTGAACCTCTGCCTTTAGAAGCTACCACAGTGCCACAGACAGGACATTTGACCATGGCTTGACACAAAAGTACTCTGCTCTTCCCCCTCCCAGACAGTGGGAAGACCTATAAAACAGGAATATTATCAGTGCCATATCTTAAAAGGTAAACTACACTCCAGAGTAACTGGTGAATGGGGAAGAAACTAACGTGTTTCATGTAAGTTCCTCAAATACATACTACAGAGTGACTGAAATCCTTGTTCTCCCTTGTCTGCCATCTACAGCTGGTAAAAATTTATTCTCAACTTGAAAACATTTAAGCTTATCCGATTCTATAAAGTCCTAGAGAAAATCTCTCAGGTAGACAGCATCTTCTAGGAAACACATTTTCTGTCATGCAGTCTGAAACCAGACTGAGTATAACCTTAAATTTCCTGTTCCCAAGCTGCTGTTCAAATAAAGCATTTCCAGAAAGCCAGAGGATGTAATATGCCAGTATGTATTGATATCAGCCAGACAAGTGGGAATAACCTTTCCTCCTAATGACATTGGTATAACACAATAGAAATGTTCTGTCAAAGGAAATGACCAACAATATTTTAATAGCTGACCTAAATGCAACTGAACCTTTTGTTTTTTAAATAACGTTATACTACCTAACAAAAAAAGAGCAAGAGGAAATCCATTGTCAGTTTTGCAGCACAGAGCTAGAGTAGTGCTCTCTTCAAAGAATTCAAGAACACTGCATCAAAACTGCTTATTTTGTATTGCCTTAAAGCTACAGGAATTAAAATGAACGATTTGACTGTAGGATCCTTACTAAACAGCTTTCATTCAGTAACTAAAGTTTCAAAGTACAAAGTGGTTATAAAAATAAATCACCTGGAGAAAAATTCAACTACACACCCCATATACAACATATTCTCACTGATGAAAGAGTAAACATACAATGGTTACACAAATTTTCTGTAACATGAGTTCTAATTTATATAAATAATTTTTAGCTTTAGAATTTATTACTGTAGTGCTTGTTATTTGGCAATGGCCATTGTATTTCTACTCATTTTGCTAACTTTGCAGAAGGGTTGTTCTTTTCAGAAGACCTAAACTCATTAATTTTAACACAAACACTACTGAATACAATGCCATGTTTATGTATGAAATTTCTTTTTACATATCTTAGTGTACCTTATCTGCCCTAAGCATTAGGTTCATTCACTTGAAAATACTTCTAAACAATTTTACTGTGATCCAGTTTCATCAGTATGTCAAAATATGTGCTACATTGTTCTCAGTTTCAAAGAGCACCTTCTTTAATCTTCCTTCTATTTTTGAAATCAAAGACAAAGTAAGCAACTACCTGTAACATATACACTGAAACCTAAGGTAGAATTTTGATGTTTGTCAAGTTTATCCCTTTTAGAGTGTCTTCACTGCTACAATTTCAGCATTATAAAGATTATTCCGAGAACACACAAGTATTTGTAACTTCAGATGATGAGAGTAGTGCCCCTGCAACAGGAAGTTGACCTCCTTTTTTAAAGGTAAAGGATCTTCTAAATAAGATTTTATTTAGCGATGCAGTATTGTATTCACTGTTAGACTTGGGAAATCATTTTAATCAGCAAAATCTTAAACTAAAGGCTTTGGAGTAAAAAGAGTAGTAGCTTGTGCACTTCGTTTTTTGATTGTTTGCCTGAAGGCTGCATTCCAGCCCTAGCCAATCCAGTTTTTTAAGAGATTGTATTTAAAAATATTTAAAGCATAAGAACAGAGTGAGCTACTGGTGTTTGTGTTCTACAGCTTCAAGTTCTGCTACAGAACTCCCATCTTCTATGAGAATTAAGTTCTGAATGCAACTTCAAAATTATGAGGTTTAGTTGTTAGAACTTTAGAAAAACCTGGAAATACAATCAGACAGATTGTTGAAGCCAAGAAGGTATGAAAAACACAAAGAAATAACCAGCAAATATGTATACAGAAAAAGACTTGTTGCTTTCTGTGGCTTCTATCAAAATCTCCTTCTGCCTTGCTCACAAATTTATACTTTCACATCATTTTACCAAAATCACATGCATGCTGAAAAGAGAGGGTTTTGTCTGAATTTGCCATAAAATTGTGATTTAAATGAATTTTATGTAGAAAATAATGAACACAGGTACTGACAGACTAAGTTACATATTTTACTCAGTAAATCCTGCCTAATTGGAAATGAGATTTCTACAGACTTTCCAGAGAGTTAATCAAATATAACAGTCACTAATGCATTTAAAATAAAGAAATCCAGACTTGGATACAATTCCTTGCCTTGTTTGACAATAGGTATCTTTAAGTGCACTCTGCAGTGCAAACTCACTAAGTTACTCAATAGTTAGCCAGACAGACTGAAACCGGCCCACTGTACAGCAATATACAAGTATGAATCAATCCAAACTGTGCATCTGCAACTAGTTATGCATTCATGCTCATCTCATGTGAAGGCTTAATGCACATCTCAGATTGGTTATGACCATCTTTAATGTTACAACTCTTTCAGTGCATCACCAAAGAACTTACCTGTCATTTCTGAAGACACAGATGGAGGCTCAATTAAACAATTCTCTACTGTCTAGACACTGCTTGCATGTATCTCCATGATCTCCAGTAAAACTAGGAGCAACTTCATGTTTCAGATCTTAATTTCAACATTTTAATTTTTAATTTCAATCTTTACTTATGGCTTTTGGCCTGCTCATACTGCAACTTGTGCAACTTTTATTTTCTAAAAAGATCAATTGTTGCCTCATCTTAGGAGATATTGTGGACACAAAAGCCTGGTAAATGTCATCTGTGAAAAGTGGCTAATGCCTATTTTTCCAATTAGGGAATGAATTCAAAATGATCACAGAATATGCTGAATTGGAAGGGACCCACAAGGATCATCGAGTCCAACTCTTGGCCCTGCACAGGACCATCCCCAAGAGTCACACCACGTGCCTGAGAGTATCATTCAAACTCTTCTTGAACTCTGTCAGGCTTGATGCTCTGGCCACTGCCCTGGGGAGCCTGTTCCAGTGCCCAACCACCCGCCGG